GGCCCGGCTGAGTGCCCCTCGCTGGAACTGGGGTCCCCTCTAAGAGCTGAGAGCAGCCCCCTCGTCCCCCACACTGCCAACAGCTGGGAAGAGAACAGTGGCTTTGGTCCCAGGACTACAAGGAACTGAATTTTGCCAACAACCATGTGCGACTCAAAGAGGAACCCGAGCTCCAGATAGGAGCTCATCTCGTGAGTTGCAGACCTGAGGAACTACCCAGGCCAGGGCTTTGGGCCTCCAGGAACCAGGATGTAATAGACAGCGTTTGTTCTGCACCAGGAGAAGACTAGCACCGGGAGGAAGGCGAGGGGAGACTTTGAGCAGAAGGGAGTAGTTAGGTTCATTTATTTATCTCTCAGTGGAGGCACTGGGGATTGAATCCAGGACTCGTGCATGCTGAGCAGGTGCCCCACCACTGAGCTCTGCCCTCCCCCCAGGGAAGATCTTTAAGTGGCACCCACGTTGCTGGAGCAGATGATAGAGAACTGCTGATGCAGGCGGGATCTCTGAAGAACGGCTGAGGTCACGATGCCTCACATCTGAGGAGACGGAAGCCCATCCAAGGGAATGCCGGAGGGCCATGTGTCTCTTTCCCCTGAATTCCCTGCTCTGTTCCAGTGCTCCGTGAGCAGCCGGAAAGACGAACTCACCTTGCAGTTGGGTGGGGGCAGCTAGAGACAAGCCCTTGGGAACCCACTGATTAAATCAGGGAGGGAGGGCAGACATCCCTGCTGAAGTGCCCCAGGGGAGCACTTGGGATGAAGCCCAGACTTTTCACAGTAGTCACCAAGCTGGCCCGACCTCGCCTCTGTCCCCCACCCTGCCCTCCCTGCTTCACACCTCACGGACCATCTCTGCTCCTCCATCTCCTCCGTCGGAGTGTCTTCCCCGTGATCTTCCTTGGGCTGGGTGCTTCTGCCCCCCATGGGCCTCTCCAGTGGGACCTGCTCCGTCCGGACCACCTGGCCCAGAGACCCACCCCCTTCGCCACCTCTGTGCATTTTACTCCTTTCCCGGCTTTGATCACTGCTGTGCCGGCTCGCTCAGGTGCTCAGGTGTTGGTTGGGTCCTTTGTGGCCACCCTTATTTCCCCAGCCCCGCCCCCACCCCCTGACAACGTCCACACGAGTGGAGCGGTGCCGTCCCCTCTAGACCGGGACAGGTGCCTCACCGGCAGGATTCTGTGTTCCTCACCCCGCGGCCCCAGCACCTCGGACAGCGCCTGGCACTGAGCGTCGGTTGACAGATGAAGGGGGAGGCAAGAACCTGGCCTGACAACTGTTTGCATAAAGATAATAGGGAATTTGGAAGGGAGGGAAGTTTGCTTTGGGGAGCTTATCAGGAAAGCCTTCTGAACCGCAGGCAAAAACGTGTATTTTGGATTTTTAACAAAACGATGATTAAAAACCTTCAGCTGTGGTTGGAACAAAATAACCTCTATTTTCAGACACCTCACCCCCAGGAAACCGTAATTTATGTGAACTTTCCAAACCTGCTAAACATTGACTTTTTGCTGTTGTTGTTACCGCAACAATCCCGTTCTTTTTGTTTTTAAGAAGAAAAAACCGGAGCTATTTCATGACTACGTTTTATAGCTTCAAAATTAAAATCCACTTGACATTTAATAGAAACCCCGCGAATCTATATTCTCTCTCAAGGACAGACTTTTTAAGTGTGGCCCAAACTAATTTGGCTGGGAGGTTCTGTTTGTTTTTCAGGCAACTATTAAAATAATGGTAACTTTGGGAATGATGATGATGACAGCTCATGTTTATCGAGTGAGTGTTACGTTCCGACCGATGCTCTTTGCTTTCACCATGGACTTACACTTTGATTAAGACTGTTTTGTTTTACAACTTTGATAGTCAATCAGCAATTTAGTGTTTGGAAGAAGCAAGCGTTTTGGAGAAAGATCAGCGTCCAAACTTTTGATCAGGCAGAGCTGTGCTTGGATCCTGAGTTTGCCCCTTGGAATCTGTGTGATCCTGGACATGTTTCTTCCTCTGCAAGATGGAGATATTGAAGCTCATCAGAAAGCATGTGGGGTGGCGCCCCGTCCTTTTTCCTCAGAGGAAAGTTACAAGTCCACGGAGTTAACTGCCTTCATGGTGCTGACTGTGGGGTGGAGTCGGCGGCGGCCCCTTGGGGGCTGGAGAACACGCAGAGCTCCTGGGTTTAAGCCCTGGAATCGGGCTCAGTGCAGAGACACATGATCCTCGTGGAATCTGGCCTGGCCCCTGGGTCAGGACGACACAGATGGCAGGGGACACACGTGGAGAGGGATGACTTGGGTGGGCCAGAAAAATGGACCACATAACATGCAGTTCAAAGATACCCATAATTTACAGTTTGCAGACAGCCTCATGTTTTTTGAGAACTCCTTTTCAGACACGTACACGGAAAGTACAGGACTGATTTATCCCTCCCGTACTGGGAATTAACAGCCTCTTGGTCTCATAACACACGCCATCAGCTCTTTTGTATCAGCTGTCGCAGGTCTTAGCCTAAACACACCTGGGAAAGCCATCCTTGTTCCTGGTCTCGTAAGTGTAGAGACGGTCCAACCTGTCCCTCCCTCCAGCATTTACGCACAAGAGACAGAGTGTCTTCATCATGATGACTGAGTTGTTTGTCCCTCAGGAACTCATGTCCTGTTTGATTCCTGCCATTCCTGGAGCTTGCTGGTTCAAGAAATGCAGGACGTGGAGTTAACGTGACCGGAAGGCATGCTTGGTGGCTATGGTCTGCAGGAGAAAGAGTTGTGTCCACCAGGCATCGGGCGGGCATGAGGACATTCACATGCACAAGGACAGTGGCCACCAGCCAAGGTCCAGCTCACAAAAACTCATGCAGGTGGCGTGTGGGAGCCGACTGTGGGTTTTGGGGGATGTGGCAGCCGCGGTGGCCTCGGCAGGAGAATTCCGATTGGGAGCCTTTGCAGCAGCTGGAGTGGCCTTCGCCCCTGAGCTCTGCCCAGTGGTGTCCCTCTCTACACCCTTCTTCCCACGGCCTCGCTGAAGTCGGCTTTCCTTGGGTGATGCTGCCTGTGAGCGTCGCGTTCACGCCTCCTCCCAGAGCACGACCAGAGGGACTTAATTGCAGACTCATTTTCGGGTTTTTCTCTTTCCCTCTGACGTCCTGCCGCTGGCATCCCTGTTCCGTGCTCATCTCCTGGGCCGCCCTCTTCTCCTAGAGCTTCCCCTCACTCTCCTCCCTCTCCTCCCTGATGCCTTCCTCTCCCCTGCCTCTGAAGCACGCTGTAGTAGCAAGAGCGGTTTTCTGCCAGCTTGTCTGTTTGAAATGGTGCCCTGATAGGAATCTGGGAAGCAAGAGAGTGAGAAACACAAGCGAACATTCACCAGCCTCGCTTCCAGCTTAACCAACCGTCCCCAGAGCTCACCGATCCGTGCGGTGGCTTTGTGGGTTTTGCTCCATCGCCCTGGGAAGCTGTTGAGCCCGGAGGAGAAGGACCTGGGCTCTGGGGCTGCCTGAGTTTAATTCCCATTTCTGCCACTTTCTCCTGTGTGACGTCGGGCAGGTTCCTGGACCTCTCTGTGCCCCCGTTTGTGTCTCTCTGTGAAAGGAGTCATAGTGATCGCAAGAGTCCTAGTCCCTTTCTTGCAATTCTGAAATCGAAGAAAAGCACTTGAAAAGCAGTTTTATTTTTAGTAAGTTGGGCGCCAAAACTCAGCTGGCAGCAAACTCGTCTCTCAGCTGGATGTGGCGCTCTGTGGCTTTGTCTGCCCTGCTGAGCGAGACTGTTCGTCTGTCTGATTCCAAAATTCTGATGTGTCGTCTATGGGGCGCTGCCTCAGGAGGGCCTATGTTAGTAGAAGTGTACATAAACCACATTATTTGAAACACGATCTGTTACCTGGTGGCAAGCTCTTGATAAGTGTGGGCTGTGGTTATTATTAAATTCGGCAGATTCTGGCCCCCATGGGAGGCTCTTGGCCAGAGACCCAGGTGTCATGTTGAGAAGTTAAAGGACAGGGGACCCCTCATGGAGGCTGTCTCCTTGACTCAGACAGGGGCGGGAGGGAGTTGAGAGGGAGTTCACTTTGTCACCAAGTGGTCCGTGCTCATTCACCGCCCTTTTCCTGCTCCCTCGCATGTGCCCCCCGAGAACTGTGGTCTAGAACACACGCCAGAGCGTCCAGGGCTCCACCCCATCACCCCTGGGTCTCGCTGGCTCTGGGGATGAGACACGAGCCAGACACGAGCTCAGGAATTGTCCTACAAAAGGGCCGGAGCTCACGGAGTGTGCGAACAGGACCCACTGCTAGATTGTGCAGTGACCAGTCCTGGACCAGACCACTGGGAAGCAGACAGACCAGACTTCCAGCTACCGCTGTTCTCGGCCACAGCCATGGCCACGGTCAGGGGCGAGCCCCGCCCACCTTCTCTGGCTCTGCTTGGAGCCGTCGGTGTGGACGGGGATTGTCTCCTGAGCGGTTGCTTCTAAACCCACCCAGGTTGGCTTCTCCTGCCCCAACAGCTGCGCGTGGGCCTGCTCACTGTTTCTGCTGTTTGTTTTCGAGTGAGCCCGTCTTTCGCCATCACGTTGTCTTGTGAACACGCGGCAGCCTCCCCCACACCAATTGGTTATTATTGCCGCTGCAAATTTAAAAGATGGGTCAAACGCTCCGGCTGAGTCGTGCCGAGACTGTACGTTCTTCTGCGGGGTCCCCACGACGTCGCCGCCATGCACACCGGCCTGTGGGATGCCATGTGGCCGTGTTTCCATACGCAGCGTTGTGAACCGTGGCATCTGGATAGGACTTGAAACTTGACCCTGAATGGGGTTGTGTGCGAGATGAATAGGACAGACACGTGTCTGTCACTTCTGCAGATGGACCTCGGAGCAAGATTCTCACAACTTACAGTTTTCAGTGAGATGCAGTTTTTCTGTGGCCAAATAATCAGGTAGGCACGGTGGTCCGTCTTAGACCAGAGCTTCCCATGGTCTGACCCCCCCAGAACCACCTGCTGGAAGACACACAGGCGGCGTGGACTGACAGTGCCTCCACCCACCCCGCAAATTCCCACGTCGCAGCTCAAGCCTCTGGTGTGATGGTGTTAGGCGGTGGGGCCCCGAAGTCTGTTCGCCCTGGAGGTGGGGCCCTCACGAGTGGGACTGAAGCCTGAATAAAAGGGACCCCACAAAGCTCCCCTGTTCCTTCCGCCCTGTGAGATTATCGTGAAAAGATGACCTTCCGTGACGCCAGGAAGCGGGTCCTCACCAGACACGGAATCTGCCGGCACCTTGACCGTGGACTTCCAGCCTCCGGGAACTCGGGCCCCTTTAGGTGGTGGCCTCAGGGCTCCGAGAGGCTGCAGAGCAGGAGACCTTCTGAAGCTTTGCTTGGAGGCCCAGCTACATCACTTCTAACCTCTTCTGCGGGTCAAAGCAGGTTCCAGGACCAGCCCCGACTCAGGAGCTGGGGAAGTAGACCCCCTTCCCCCTTCATGGGAGGGGTGGGCAAGTCCTGCGGCAAGGAGACAGGCCTGGGAGCGGGGAGGGGCTGCGGTGCCGTCTGTGCACACACGGCGGTCTGTGTCAGCACGCTTCCCTCCCTGTCCCCGGCGTGTGCTCAGAGCTGCCGTGGCTGTCGTGTAGGCGCTGTGTGAGCCCAGGAGCCTAGGGGAGGGGCCCTGACAATTCAAGGGTGAGGCTGTCCTTTCTGTTTTCTTTATTTTCTTTCAGTCCCTCACCCCAGGGCTGTATGCCGACAGCCACGATGCGCCTTACACCTCACGCAGATGTCGCTTGCTTTATCTAAGTCTGTGGTTTTTGCTCCGTCTTCCATGTAGGCAGAGAAGCAAGAAGTACATTTTGTCACACTCTGTTCCTAGAAACCCTGTCATCCAGGATTCTGTTCTAAGACGGTCGGTCGTGCATTCTGCAGGGACCTAAGCCGGGGGGTTGGGTTGTAGCCGAAGTCCGCGTCAGATAAATCAAAGATACGGCCAGCGTCCGAAAATAACGTGCCACAGCTCCGCGTCTCTCGGATAATTTTAATAAGAAGGTGGCTCTCCTGTGAGGTGGGAATAAATATGTTTTTATTATAAATGGAACACCAGTTTGCTGTAGTGTATACGTAATACATAAAAATATAATTCCACTTTGTCATAAACATTGCTGTTTATGTTGCTAGCTGTAAAAATCACCCAACGTTTAACTAACAATAACTTTGAGGCTACACGGACGTTCCTTTTAAACAGCAAAACACCGTGTGTTAGTCCCGGGCACCGCTGCTGTGGAATGTGCACGGGGTGTGGAAGCAGGGTGGTGGCGAGAACTAGGCCCGTGCTGGGCCGTGCCCTGACGTCTCTGTGTTAGCTCGGTGCATCCGCTCAGCACTCCGCGAAGCAGGTCCTGTTATTGTCCCTAATTTGAAGATGAGGAAACGGAGGCTCAGGGAGGTTACGAAACGGACCCAGCATCACTCCCGCGAGGGGTGGGATGTGAATTTAAATGCGGGCGTCCCGGCTGGTGAACCCTGCTTTGACTTACATGCAAGCATGGTAAATAGTGCACGTTCCCCTCCTCCCTCTGAACACCCTCTAACAATGAAAATAATTCTCATCAATCAATATTGAGCAAGGCAGACAGAAGAAAAGTCTAGAAAGTCAAGGCCAGACAGGCGATCCCCTCCCCTCCCTCGCCCGTGGAGTCAGGGGCAGCGCTGGGCTCACCCCTCGGCGCCCACTGCCCCTTTGGAGACGAGCAGTGTGGGGCTTGGAGAGGTCAACCAGCTTGCCCAGGGCCACGGGGGTTGTGTTGTCTCGAGGATGGGGGCTCAGATCCTGCAGTCAGACACTTGTGTCTGTCTCAGCTGATACTTGGAAACGGGGAGAAATTGTGCATCTCAGGGTCACCAGAAGGGCTCTTAGTCCCTGTGAGGAGCCGCGGGTTTGGCCGTCCAGGGCAGAGGGCGGGAGGGGGCGTGATCGCTGACTCTCGTGTTTTGCTCACACGTTCACCCCGGCACATGCGTAATTGTTTACTCAGTCCCAGGGTTCGCATTAACTCCCATCTCTCCCAAAGGCCATTTTCTCCTGAATCAGGGAGGTGGACCAAGGAAGGACACGGGCTTCCGGCTGTGCTTGCCATCCCCCTTCGCCCCTTTGCTCACCTCCATCTCTCCTCCATCTCCTTCTTCGCAGGAGTTTGTTCAGCTGGCAAAGAGGCTGGTTAGCGATCCTGCGTTAGAAAAGGAAGTTGTGGCCAACGGAAGGGACTACGTGAGGATGTACCATTCGTGGCAGGCAGAGAGAGACACCTACGGGCACCTCGTCAGGACGCTGGAGGGAAGCCCTGAGGACTGAGGGCGCCTGCCGGGTGTCGGCGGTGCCGGTCGGCGTCCGTCCGAGGCACAGCCCTGGGCAGATACCCAGAGCCGGGGCCCTGGGCCGGCGGGACCCGGCCGTCTGGTCCAAACCAAGCCCAGTTCATTGGAATCAGAGATTAGTCGGCTGTTAAGACAGTGCAGCCCAGACCTCGCTGTGCCCCCAGAGAACGTCCCAGTTGTGTTTTCAGATCGGTCCTCATGGATGCACAGAAGCTCAATGGCTCCCTGTGGCGGGGGAGCTGGTTTTGAGCGGATCTAGGGAGAGAGCTGGACGGGCTGCTTTAGGACTTCCTGAGGACAGCAGGGGCCTGCTGGTAAGCCGTCATAGCGCAGGCACCTCTCCCATCTTCGGATGACCTGTAACCCATCATTGTTCAAAGAGCAAAAGCAAAAATCAGACACGTCGGCTGAGGGGTCCTGGTGGCGTTTCTGCCGTGGTGCAGACTCTGCAGCAAAAGCGGGGCCCCGACAGACTTGCAGATGGGCCTCCGGGCTCTGCAAGTTTGCTTTTGACCCCCTCTAGATAAACAGGCAGACCCCACCCCCAACCCAACCCCCCACAGGCTCCCCCCACCTCCTGGCCAAATTTGAGTCAAAAACCGGTTGGAACAGGGGCCACATCGCCTGGGTTTTGGGGTTCAGCACCCAGGGCTGAGTGTCGGTCTGGTCACCAGCTTCCAGACCATCCCAGAACTGGCACCGGATCCCCACGACCTTGTCCAACATGAGGCGAGTTTAGCCAAGCGAACCCATCACTGGGAGGAGGTCCTGACCGTGCCGGCGTCACGGCCCCACACCCCGTGCTCGTTTGCCTTTGGTGGCGGTGTTTGCCTCTGTTGGATCCTAAAATCCCTGCTGTCCGGCGAACATCCCGTGGCAACAGCTGGGTGTGAGGTGCTCCATTTCTCGTGCGAGGTGGGAAGCCGTGGGCGTCCGGAAGGAGGGCTGAAGCCGGCTCAGAGCCCATCGCAGGAGGCGTCTCGTTGGGGTTTGTTCCGATGCCGCCAGACCCTGGAGGGAGGAGGAAAACCCACGTCATCCTTGCCTCGAGGGTGCCTTGGACATTTTTCCCCCTAATCATCATTTTTCATAAACAGCCAAACCTACATCCTGTTTTAAAGGGATAAGACTCAGTTTGAACGACTTAAACTCCAGCGACTTGAGGATGAGAATAGCACATTTACAGATTGCGAACCATGTCCTTTCCCGTTCCGTTCTGCGCCTCAGTCTCAGAACAGGGTCCCTTCCCAAAGGCAGGCACCCGGAACCCGCAGGCGCTCCTCGCGCCCCAGATCCACAGCCCTGCGAGCGGCCCCCTTCAGCCCACCCCGCCTCCTTTGTGGTATCTGAGAGTCACGAGGGTCCGGGGTCCCCTGTGGCCAGGGAGGAGGGGGAGGGAGAAACAGGGGCCAAGCCCCGGGCAGGCGGCTTCGTCTGAGTCTGGAGTCAGCGAAATCAACCTGAGAAAAGGCCCCACTTTGCCCTGGGTACCAGCCAGGGGTGCTGCCGTGCAGGGAACGCTGGCCGCCGGGGAGCGCCGCTCGCCCCGGTGAAGGCCGGTGTGCGTGCTGGGCCCCACTGCACTTCACCGCCATTCATTCACGTCGTCAGAGAAGCACCACACCGGCCTCTGGCCCTTTGGGGAATGGCCTGTTTTTAAATGAATAAAGTGCCACCACCCTCTGCACAAAAAAATAGCTTCTGTGTGTTTGTTCCTGTTGTGAGCCTGGTTCTGCAAGGAGCAGGCCCCGCCCCTCCCTCCCGTCCCTGCACCTTGAAAGGAGATACTGACACTGGAGCATCGCATTAAGAGGGGTTTAAATGCAATTGCTGTTTTTAATACCAAAGTAGGTTAAAAAAAATGCTTTTCTATAAATGTTCTGGCCGCCCTCAGTTTCATACTCGGTTAACTTTATGCTGAAACATTTTGCGTGGAGTTTCCAATTTGCTGATGCACAGGTTTGGGTCACTGGAAGAGTCGGTTTCCAGATAGAACTGAGACACTGGAACCTTCAGATACGGAGGGGAAGTGCGTTTAAGGGGGCACAGGGGGATGGAGCAGAGAGGCATGGCGCACACTGGGCTGCCGGTCGCTGTGACAGGCGGCGCTGATGGCGTCTGCCAGAATAACGGCAGTCCTCACGCCCTTCCCACACTCCGCAAGAAAGTTCAAGAGGACAGCAGTCGTCACGAGGGGCCAACTTAACACTGGACTTGGTGAGTGGGAGGGTGTCGATCAGGATCAAATTTGGTTACGACTGACGGAGATTCCAAAGTGGCAGTGGCTGAAGCAGAAGAGAAACACAGTTCTCTTCCCATCGTGTAAAGAGATTTAACAAGGCACGTATGATGTTCTCCAGGGATGGGGGACGGGTGGGGGGGACTAGGACCCCTGCATCCTCAGTATTTGGCCGTCTCTACCTCGTGGTGTGAGGTCGCTCCCCTGGCTCCGCCATCACGCCTGGATTCCGGGCTGCAGCCAGGTGGGAGGCGGGAGGAAGACTTGTCTCCTCGTTTCAGAACAATTCCTGTTTCTGGTTACATACTGTGCCTTCACCCAGTTGCTTAGGAATGCAGGCTTTTCTCCCAGCGGCCACGCGCCCCATTAAAAACCGGGGTCTCCTACCAAAAGAGAGGGGAAGGACGCCTGCGGGGAAGAGCTGGCAGTGCGGCAGCCATCGGGATAAACTGGTTTCTAATTCTGTAGTGGTTATAGCCGTACTGCTTGCTAATTACCGAATACCTTCTGATGCCAAGAGAAGTGCTTTCCGCAAGGTTTTCGTTTAGCTTTGAAGGCCATCCCTACACAGACCAGGTTTTCTCCCCAAGGTCTCATCCGTATACAAGCCCCCAGCCAGCGCCCCCTTATCAATCAGAACCTCCAGCCCTGCGGCTCCTAAATTAAAAGCTCAAGAGTCAAAGCGTCCGCGGGGCTCCGCCCGAAGCCCCGAGAGTGTCCGTGCCAGGTGAGACACCGCCCCCGAGGGCACAGTCAAACGGGGTGTGCTGACTCCGTGCGTGATCCCGGTGCCCCGAGAGTCTCCCTGGTCGCCCGAGTGCGTGTGGGCCGGGCTCTGCTCCTGCTGGGAGGTCTTGGGAAGTAGAAATTGTTTCTGAAGAAGGGGTCCATGAGCCAGAGCCTGACTGCCACACGGCACGGATTTATGTTAAAAACCAGATGCCGCGAAGTTCTAACCTGCACAGTGTTTAGGTCCTAAAGACAGTGCTGAAGGGGAGGCTGTCGCTCACACGGCAGAGCACGTGCCTGGCACACACGAGGTCCTGGGCTCCATCCCCAGCACCTCCTCTAAAAAATAAATAAATAGACCTAATTCCCTCCCCCACCAAAAAAAAAATTAAAAATAGTATTTAGAACAAAGACCTTGCATGGTCCCAGTTACCTGCAAGGACTCCCCACAAGTCGGGCGTCCGTCCCTCCGTTCAGCCAGCGTCTCCTGCGGTCGTGGAGGCAGGCGCTGCGCTCTGGCCGAGGCTACAGCAGGGGACACTCCCCGTCCCCGGGGGGCTCCCTCCCCAGTGGGCTTGACCGTTAGCGTGGACCTGGGTGGATGCCCGCTGCAAAGCATTCAGAGAAAGAGTGGGGTGGACCCTCAGGATGGGGTCCGGAACAAAAGTCAGTTAAGAACAGGATCCGCAGGGCAGTTGCACCCCAACAGTCAGAATGAAAACCACCTCCGAAGCGTGACAGGTAATTTCCAAGAGAATCTTACTAGATTCTAAAGGGACTTGTACTAAAAATGAACACACGAAAAAAAAAAAGGTATGTGTGTGGTGAGGGGGAGGGTGTCAATTAAAAAAATAACGACTTCATCTTTATCTGTGGCCACAATCTATTTTAAAGGAATATTTTACAACTTCCTTCTTCCTTCAAACTCATAAACAAGTCCTTAAAAATCCAGGCCGAGAGAAATGTCTTCCCCCCACAAATTGCACAATTCTGCTGAATTACAAAGCTTTCTCCTTCGGGGTGGGGGAAAAAAAGAGCACCGCGATGCCGTCTCAGTAGGAGCCGTGGAAATTGCTCTATGCGCTGCCGAAAGCCTCTGCTGTTAGGAGAGTCACGCTTCATTTAAAGTGGATTTCCTTCTTTGGCATCTAGTATAAAAATACGCGACATATTTCCCCAAATCAGAAAGGTTAACAACCAGATGTTTACAAGAAGCTGGCGAGCCGAGGAGCCAAGCAGTCCTGGGAGACTAGCTCTCCAATGTATTTGGTGCAAATTTCTCCATTTTAGAAATGGCTGGGGAGAAACCCCAGCTCACCGAGTTTACAGGGCTGCTTCCGTCTCGGGACTCCGTCCCCTCTCTCCTGCTGCTTCAGTGCCCTTGGAGGCCCAGTGGGCACACAGACCAGATGGCACGCTGAAAAAGCAGCTGCGTTTATGACGTCCAAGGGTTGTCACCCCGTCCCCCACCCCTGCGCTGCGTTTGTCCACTGCAAAGGACCACCCTTCCTCACGTGACTTGGGTGAACTCATGGACGCCCCTGTGGGTACCTTGGCTTCCCCAGGCTCTGGTCCGGCCTCAGCCCGAGCCAGTGGACAGCTCGTCCGTGACAGCCCCCCACCCCCAACAGGCTGGCCTCGGGACACCGCATCCGCCCGCCGGCCACGCGGCCCCGTCGCTCCCACTCACCCCGCTTCCCCACAGCCGGCTCTTTCTAGCCTTCCTTACTCCTCGCTGTGAAACAAGAACCCACTTTACCTAAACGCATGGGATGCTCACAGATCCTATTGTCGGACGGTCCTCTCTGTCGGGCCTCAAAAATCCTTTCTGATAAAAACT